ATTCGTTTTTTAAAGCAGCAATTAGCCTTTTATCTGAAGTTCCTATAATAATAGAAATGGATGGCAAGCATAGATCTTCTGAACCATTCCTTCTCTCGTATATTAATTGCTTTTTTTCTACTTTACTTGTTGTTCCGGTAATTGATTAAGTGGTCATTATAAACATAATGCATAATCATAGTAAAGATTTGTTTTGTGCTAATTACTGAAATTTATTTAGGATCATCCCGAACAAGAGCCTTTATATCTGATCTGCGGATTACTGAAAATGATTAACGAATATAATTGGGAAGCTAATAGTGATGCCCGAATAAACCTTTATTTAAATATGCTTAATCTGTTATCAGCAGCTTCTCAAGAGTCATATATTTATCATATTGAAGGAGGTAAGAGAATGTCTAATTGATAAACTATAAAAACATTCCATTAATACAAAATTAAAGTAATAAATATGGTGGTGATATTACAAGGAAAACAAATATATTACAGTTGATTCTAATGATGCTTTATATGGGGGAGATGAAAAATTTCTTTCTGAAGTAAATAAATTATGTTCCTTTGTTATTGATAAAGTTCTGTCATATCTCAAGTTTCTTGGTGACAAAGGGGTAAGAGAAAATTTAATGATGCATTCATTTTTAAATTTAAATGATTTTTAACTTTTCTTATTTTATCCCTTTAGTTATCAAAGCGCCAATCTAATTTAGCTTTGGAATTATTAAATCGTATAATTACTTTTGGTGATCTAAACAATACTTCTCTCGCTACGTTAGCTTATAATTTGTGGACTCTTGCCCACCGTCACGGGCATTATGATGCAAAATTTTCAGTAAGTAAAAGATTAAAAGTATAATCTGAATTATTGTTTTTTTAAAAAAATATTTATATTACACAGGTGCAGACTCTTCAATCAATCAAAAGAAAATCAGCTAAGCTTGGAGACAAGGCTTATGCAGATCTCATTAATAAACTACAAATACCAACATATTAAGCTAGTTCTGGAGAGGAAAAGTAATAAATTGTATAATTATTTATATTGTTATAAACTGTGTAAATGCCGATGGATTCTAATAAATATTTTGTTTCATATTTTTTCTGTATAATTAATTTGTATATAACAAATTTTTGTAACAATTTTATGCTTCTTGCTGAGAAATATTTATTTATATCATAACAAATGTTTTCAACCTAAATTCTATAGGTCGTCGTCATGTGTAATACCATATCCAAATGTTTTTTAAATGGAACATTTTACAATTAAATTGTGTTTGAACATTTCATCGTAAAATGTTCTATTTAAAAAAGTGTTTGGTTACAGTATTATACCTGATGATGACCTACAGAATTTTGGTTGAAAAAAGTATGCAACAATATAAATATTTTTCAGCAAGCAGTTATGAAAATTTAACTAGCTCTCACTGCTGAATCTGATATGTAGTTAACAATTACAAACTTTATAAAAATTAGTAAAGCATGTGTTCATATTTTAAACACAAATTTGTTTCAAGTGCTAATCTTTCAAGTCCTGTCTGATGCTACATATTAAATATGCTTTTATGCATATTTAATATATAGAGATTCCAGTATTAAGCATTGTTGTGATTATATCACAATTTTACAGAATAAATAATGAGGAAAACAAAGTAAAAAAATAAAGCAGTGATATTTTGTAGTATGTAAGGCTTTCATAAACATAAAGCTAATGATATAGTATAAGAAACTATTAATTTTATAATGTTTAAAATTAACAAAATAACTAACATTTGTTTACTATGATAATAAATAATTTTAATATATTATCAAAACACTTACTCAAACACCTTTTCTTGCAGCCAAAGTTTATAAGAGAAACTTTCTAACGTTTTCGGTCTTGTTAAAAGACCTTTCTCAAGAAAATAAATCAAATAAAACAACAAAATTGTAAATCGAACGCTTAGTACAGTTAACACGTTTTTCGAATCTTTTCGAACTAGCCTTATAATCCGTTGCAAATGACGTCATTGTGAACTTAGCAACGGAAATATAAAAAGATTACATAAATATCTAAATATAAATACACATATATACCCTCTCCCTACATCATTTAAAAATACGTAGCCTAAGATACATAGTAACTAGTTCCCTCAATTATTAAGTTTATATTAAACTAGAGGACCATGCTGCCGATATTTTTGTCGATTCCCGAAAGTTGACTGCAAGGCCTTTATGCTTTGCCTTACAAATCTGCCAGGCTTCCGCGTAATGCCGGTGTTTCTTGTCGCGGACTATCTGCATTAGTCTTGCTTGGTCCCATTCAACTTTGACGTCTTGCTGGTCCGCTAGAACGTAGGTGGCTAGCGCAGTGCATGGTTGTTTTTTTCTTATATTTGCTTGATGTTCTGCTAACCTGTCTTTGATACTTCTTCCTGTTGCCCCTACATATATTAATTTACTTCGTCGCCTTGAG